TTTCAAATTAAATTAGTAATATAAATTTTTAAGAAGTATATCCTAAAAGTAATAGGATTATATAACTAAATATATTTACTTGTTCAATTTTATATGAATTAGACAACCGAAAATTAATTATACTAATAAGATTTCCAAAGGTAATCATGTAGGATTCCTAACGTGTAGTATTATGTTCTAAAACTAATAGAATTATAAGTCTAATATCTAAAATTTTGATTATGTCCTTTTATTATGCGTTATTATACTTAATATTATAAGATTATTTTTGTAAACCGACATTGTATTCATACTTTTATAATAATATATATATATTTATATAGCTTGCATTAACGGATTTATTTTTGAAACTATAAATAAAGTTGTTGGATCATGCAATACCAAATTCCCAATTTAATACTAGCTTTAAAAAGTTTCTTTCTTTTTCTCTTCTTAGAAAGCTGCTCTTCAACACATCGGGGACTTCCCATATTCCTAAATCTGCCCCCTCTTCTTCCAAATCAGCTATTAGCGATTTTTCCCACGTAAGAACTCCTTCTCCAATTCTTTGAATTCGTTATACACATAAATTTGGACATAGTACAATTGATTTTACAAAAGTTATAATATTGTTCCTATATATTGTTGATTGAGATGTTATGTAATAGGGAATCTAAATTGATGATTAAATCTGTACAGTTAATTATTATTGATCTTGTTTGTATTCATGTGTATAGTTTTTGCAGTTGCGTTGACTTGATCCGCCTTTACTTTTAGGGTTTCGAGCTAAATTGTGTGGATCGGGATTTGGTTATTTGTTTCATCGTCTAAGACTCCGATTTACGTGCTACAGACCTTGATTTCATTGACTCTTATTCTTTACCGCTTGATTTTGTGTGATTTTGGAAAGCTTTTTGTTGAATTTGTTTTTGGTAAAATTACGAATTTCTGGTGTTAGAGAACCGCCAAAATCCAGATTATTGAGTATTGTAATTAAACGGGCCCAAATGAAGCGAAGTGGATATTGAGATTCCTATACCCGAACCCCAATTAATTTGGGATTGAGGCGTAATTGTATCTAGTTTTTTTCTCCTTGTCCTACTGTATTTTCTAGATTGATGAAATAGACTGGAATTTCAGATGGGAAAGATATGCGGAAATTGTAATGTAGGAGTTTGGAAATTTTGAATGAAGTTTGGAAAAAGAATTTGAATTATTGCTTTGGATAAACAAACTGTATGGAAGAAGAGGTTTTAAAAATTATCAAGTCCCTTGCTATAATTGACTTGGCTGCTCAGCTTTTTGTTTCTCATCGTAAAGTGTCAACTGGTAGTACAACCTTTGCGCATGTGAAACCTATCTTTGCTTATTGGTATGAGGAATGAAGCTGTACAGCTGTCTGATTTTTGGTTTTGGTATAACAGGCAGTTTTAAAGATGGGGTTGTCTTTCACTAAGCTTTTCAGTCGGCTATTTGCCAAGAAGGAAATGCGAATTCTTATGGTAGGTCTTGATGCAGCTGGTAAGACAACCATATTGTACAAGCTCAAACTGGGAGAGATTGTTACCACTATTCCTACCATTGGTAAGTTCTGCTATTATATCGTGTATGCTGCACGTAACGTCTATTGCTCGTGGTACTGATCTTGTGCTGGGTACGTAACATAGTGCCACTTTCACTCTGCTTCCATTAATTAGACTTCGTAACTGACCAAGTGATTGACCTTTTCTTGGATTCTTCCTACTCTATGGATTTTGAAAAGTATTTCCTCTGTTAAAGTGTTAATGGTATTTGCATTTAACATATTAACCATAGCTGCCCTAATTCTATTTATCGAGTCCTTGGTATGTTCTGCACTAACGCTCGCTCTTGTCAGGATTTAACGTGGAGACTGTGGAGTACAAGAACATTAGCTTCACTGTCTGGGATGTTGGTGGTCAGGACAAGGTATTTGGTGCCATAAAATACCAAAGTCTGGTGATCTGTGACATTAGTTCTCTAAAAATGTGACATAACATAGGAAATCTCTTTAACTCATCAGGAAAAAAGCAACAAACATAGGAAAGTTCAATACCCCATTAATTTAGGATAACATCATAATGGCCATCCTTCAAGTGGCTGGATAAAGATGGAGCATGCTTTGGTTTCTGGAATTTTATTTTCTTTTTCCTGTTAGTGTTTCTTGTCTAATATGCTTGAGTAGAGATTAATGATGTTCCTTTTCTCTCTTGGTCTCTTTTTGGTTTGGTATAATGTCCATTTTTCTTTCACAATGTTTTTCTTTCTGAGAGATATCCACCAAGAACACCGTACTCTCAGAAAGACAGAAAGAACTGAACGGTAACTTCTCTTCCAACTCCAGCCATCATCTATATGCATGGTTTATCTTGCAAATTCATTTCTGCCATGGCTTTGCCTAGTTGAGTGGCTAATGCCTATCTAGCTTTATCATCTAGTGTTTGTTATCGACAAATAAAAAGGTTCATCTAGATCTAGTCTTTCTATAGGTATTCTGGACTTATGAGTTTTTGATACCAGGAAATGACTTATTGGCTGAAATTGTTAATGGTGTTACCTGATATGCTCAGTCATTATTTATTGATATTTCCAGATTCGACCACTGTGGAGACATTACTTCCAAAACACACAAGGGCTCATCTTTGTTGTTGACAGTAATGATCGGGACCGTGTTGTTGAGGCTAGAGACGAGTTGCACAGGATGTTGAATGAGGTAATGCAATCATCTCTCTCTCTCTCTCTCTATCTCTATCTCTCTCTCTCTCTCTCTCTGTGCGCGCGCGTGCGTGCCCGTTTATAATGAACCTTGGGCGGGAGTTTGGAGGTAAAAGAGTATAATTCAAGAATGATGCCAAGAGATATTACCAACTCTATGGGTTATAAAGATATATGGTATTAGTTTCTTATTGCTCATTATCTCTCATTCTCAAAACTTTTGCTAATGTACTTATAGGATGAACTGAGGGATGCGGTGCTGCTTGTGTTTGCCAACAAGCAAGATCTTCCAAATGCTATGAACGCTGCTGAGATTACTGATAAGCTTGGTCTTCACTCCCTCCGTCAACGTCACTGGTATATATTGTGGCCAAGTTTGATACACTTTGCTAGTATCCTTGAGTTGCATGCATGGTGTTGCAGATAAGAATGAATTGTGTTCTACCATTACTGAACCTCTTACTTTGCCTCACAGGTACATTCAGAGTACATGTGCCACCTCTGGGGAAGGACTTTACGAGGGACTTGACTGGCTCTCCAACAACATTGCGAGCAAGGTACGTGAGATTATCACACAGGAATTCATTGATCATTTCGAGGCTGTAATTTCTAACAATCTTTCTTTCTTATGACAGGCTTAGGAGGCATGATCAATGATTTTTGCAGTTATGTTTTTATTTTATGTACCTTACGAGATCCTTCTTTTGCAAGGAGAATTGGCTTATTGCAAAACTATTGTTTTGTTATACTTCTTTTCCCTTTTTGTAAAAGGATGATGGTACCTTGAAGTAGCTTTAGGTTAATGTTCATGTAATATTTTGCACTCTGACTCGCATGATGGCAGCCACTTGTCTTTCCATATATTATTTTATTCAGGGGTAGGGTTCTTCCCTGGCATTTTTTAGATAAAGGTAGTATTTGTGGTCTTCTGTGCTATTTATGTGTTTTTACTGTTCTAAATTGACATCGTCTCCTAAACAAAATTTATTCGGAACTTTGTTGTACTGTGTTGGCCTGAGACTCATAGCCTAATTAGGTTTTATTATGCTTTAAACTTGTCTAGACTTTTTATGTAAACTGAAATCTTCAGAAGTTGGTATTCGGCGAGCTACTGTGTCGATGGTGGACTGGTATTTTATGAGTGTAAGTAAAATGGTCGAAGAAGGGTAAGGACGTACCAAGTACACATAAAACTAGATGACCAGACTTAAACCAAAATCATAAAACAACGATTTTCAATTCTTCTCTTCAAGGAGTAGAATCTCTGCCTAACCCTACCATTTACAAAAAGATGAAAATTACAGACTTGAGGTGAGAAAAGCAACTAATGAAAATGTGTTGCGCGCGTAGCAACGAGAAAGAAAAGCCAAGTTATCACAAAACATAAAATAGATGTTTGGCGTTTGAACATTTTTCTTTATAGCAAATTTGAAGGAGTAGCCTATCCTCAGTCCTAACTCCTAATCTACTTAGGGATGGGCTAGACCGGCCGCATTTTGAAGACTCTTTCAAATTAAGGGCCAACTTGTCTAATCCAATTGAATTCTATAGACCCCAACAGCTTGGCTGGCCAACCCATTTTGACAACTCTATTCTCGAAAAAGTGAGAAGTATTTCACATGCCTTAACCACATAATTTACGAGTTGTCATTCATTTTCATTGAGCTTTGACCATATCTAGTCAATATGATGGGCTTTTACCAGTCTGTGCAACCATGATTCTAAAAGTCGATTACAAGTGAATCGAATTATATTGAATGTTAAACAAGATTCAAAACCAACTCCTATAACTAGGGTGTACATAACTCGGGTTGGTTCGGATTTTTTCATTATCAAACCAAACCAATGGTGTCGGGTTTTTAAATCTATAAACCAAACCAAACCAACAAAGTCGAATTTTTCAATCTCGTTTTTTCTCGGGTTTTTCGGTTTTTTTCGGGTTTTTTCCTGGTAACGTCTTTATAGCACAAAATATGTAACTTGTGCTCCAAATATTTCTTTAGTCCTATTAAGATACAACTATATATTGTATTTTCCAAAAAACATAACACAATAATATGAGATAAGTCATAGCATTATACTAAAATATTCAATAACAAAGATAATAAATTGCGTAAAGCAAATATTGTTAATTAATAAGCCATAATAAAAATTAACATAATCTAAATATACTATATATGTCATGCTAAAACAAGTATAGATAATAAGTACTATTAATTACATAACTAAGCACTACAAAAAAAATAAACTAAGTTATGCATTTTCATTATAAACCAATGTAAAACTAAAAAATAATATCCAACACTATCATCATTCCTAGTGTTGAATGGAGTTTCTTTTGGTAGCATTAGTATTGATTTGAACTTTGTTTGAGTTACTACATTTATGTGCTATAAAATTTATTTATCATTCAAGAATGTTAAGTTCAAACTTGAAATAATACGTTAAAAGATAAAATTATGAAAAAGTTTAAGAAATATTTATAAAATACATTACAATAAATATTTATATGTATAAAATATTTTTAAAAATTGTATAAATGTACTATCGGGTTGGTTTGGTTTCGGTTTGATTTTTTTTAGTTAAAACCAAACCAAACCAATTATGGTCGGGTTTTCTTTTCCAATACCAAACCAAGTCAAACCAAACCATAATCGGGGAATTTTTCCGATTTGACTCGGATTATCGGTTTGGTGCGGTTTATCGATTTCTTTGTACACCTCTACTTATAACTAATCCATGTACCGATTTTATGTCTCTGAATAACTTAACTAACAACGGTGCACATGCTGAGAGCACATTTATCACAACAACCTCGTCTCGGAAAATGGCATTAACAAACATTTCCATAAACAAATCTATAGTTTCTTTTGGTATCATTGTGAAATATTAAAAACCAAAAATAATAATACACCTAAAAATCACCTAGACATATCCACCTTCTAGGAAGGGTAATACGAACAACTAGGCCTCCAACAAAAATAACTAATTACGGAGCTGTTGAATGAAGAAACTACACCTATGAGCTTTCTTTGAGCCTTTCACGAAATCTATCCTCTCTTTAACTTCTTTTTGTATCTGTACCACTACAAATTTGGTATTCACATTATTTCCTTTAAATAACTTTCAGTAAAGGACCTGGTTCTCCTAGTTGATTCTGTTAGAGCACTGGTACTTAATTCTAGTGGAAATAGGATTCACTTTTATTACACAAAAAATATTTAAAATTTATCCAGATTTTCCACCAATCATGTGGCATTATTGAAGTGATTAAGGGTCTCCATCTACTCGTCTACCCCTACAAAAAAGATACATTTGATTTATCCAGAGTTGCCATCAATCTTGCATCTATAAAAATAAGATTTGTGAGTACATATCGGATGGAACTTGAAGTCTGGCAGCTCACTCATTCTCTTAAGTGTCTGAGATAGATATTCTGACAAAAGAGGTGATATTGATTCCCCTTGCATCAATCCTCTCTTGCCTTCAAAGTAACCATGCCCTGCTCCATTAACTTGATAGAGATGCATGTCATCGCCAATTGGATAAACTTAGCAGGAAAATCAAAACACGCTATTGCCTTCTCAATAAATGCCTAGCTTATCATATCATATGCCTTTATTAGATTAATTTTTGTCAAACATCTTGGTGATATCTTCCTGTTATATTGTCTTAGGAGGTCATGACAAGTAAACACATTATAGACTAAAGACTTTCCCCCAACAAACGCTGCCTGATTGTCAGCCACTGTATGGTAAATGTCCTTGTTCAATCTACTATTATAAAGCATCTTAGATTTGTACTTATACAATACATTGCAACAAGAAATAGGCCGGAATTTACCAGCATAAGCTAGGACAATAACTTTAGGAATTAATGATATTATCGTGGAGTTAAGTATTTTTGGTAACTTCCCATTGTTGAAGAACTCCAAGATGGCTGCTGTTATATACATTCCTATTACACTCCATGTTGCTTTGAAGAATCCACTGCCACACTCATCTGGACCTGGACTCTTATTATTATCTATATCAAACATTGTTGTTTTGCTTATCAACACTTCTTCATAGTAATGCACAAAAATATTTGTTATTTCTGCAGGATATGTGTGAAATACATTGTGATTGTCATGCATATGTGTTATTGCCAAGTGCAACATCCCATGCTTAGCAAAAGACAAAAAGGTTCTAGTCTTATGATCACCAAGTTAAAATCCATATTTAAAATATGTGTTTTCACATTAAATAGTTCCATTTTGTGCATCTTTCTTCGCTTTGAAAAGTCACAAAATATCCTTATCTTAAAACTTAGTTCTACTCCATTTATACGATTGATATTTCACTAGATAGGAAAGTTTTAGATATAAATTTAGACTTATAACTTTATTGATTTTGCAAAAAAAATATTATAGCAATCGTTGAAAAGTTGGTTTGACATGCAAATTATCTAAGTTTATCATCACATAGGATGTGGTGGGATGGACAAAATCTATTGTAACGATCCGACCGATCATTTTGAGTCCTAGAGATATGGAGGTTTCGGGTAGTACAAGTCATAAGCTCTACTGAGTTATTAGAAAGCCTATAAATACAATTGTTTTGAAATAGAGGTAAAACAGTGCAAGTACAATATCAGAAGGTGACTCTAAAGCCTGCGAATGTAGCAACAGGTTTACCTTGAGTCTCCACAGCAAGATCTGTACTGCTAGCGATCGATCAACTGACTCCACATTTACCTGGCTATGCACAAAAATATGCAGAAGTGTAGTATGAGTACACCACAATCGGTACCCAGTAAGTATCAAGACTAACCTCAGTGGAGTAGTGACGAGGTACAGTCAAGACACTCACTAGTCAAATAACTTGTGCCATACTAAAATAATCAAAAACAAATAGCAGTGATAGCAACAATAATCCACTAGTGCTATAAACAGTAAGATAGCAAGAACACTATAATTATTACTCAGACGAATAAGAAACATAAGAACAACCAATTAAACAAGTCTTTCACATATAATCTTTTCAAATAAATACCTTCCAAATATATTTCTTCAAATAAATATCCTTCGAATATAAAACTCTTCCAAATAAATATCTCATATCATAATCATAAAATACGGTTCTCGACCCCCTTTCATATTCTCACGGCACCTCATGCCCATATCTCTAATCACAACCGCACGAACAACTCTCATGCCAAATATTTTAATATATAAGATCCGTACGATTAATTTATTTTCAATAAAGTAAGGTTACAATTGTTTATAAACCAAGTAAGAATTCAACAAAGAAATGAGCTTATTTTAGAAATAGTTTGAGTAAAGAAAAATGATATTTCAATTTAAATAAAATATCAGATAATCTATTGCTTCAGATGTAAAACTTATTAGTTTAAAACATAATAGTAACTTCTTTTATTTAAAACAACTCAGTCATCAAAAATCGGTAAAAATTAGGAATATAAATCTTCAGAGTCTCGTACTAAAAATCCCAAGCCAATACAATACGACAAAGAATATAAACACATAGTAAAATCAAATAATACATCACGGCAGATCACAAGGATTGACCTATCACAGAAATACAAAATAACCAAAGACAAGTGAGACCATAGCGAGATGTCAACAAAAGGGCACTCCCGAGATACTGTCTCGTAGTCCCAAAAGTAAATGCTCAACAAGGGATCTCCCGAAGTATCGTCTCGTAGTCCCAAAAGTAAATATGCAAGACAGGTGGATCTCCCGAGGTACCGCCTCGTAATCCCAAAGTAAATATGCAACAACAACAATACCCCCAGGCTATCACAAGTCATCACAATTTAATTTCCGACATGACCCACCTTGTCTCGCCACGTGTGCAATAATAAAGTAAATGCCCGCCTTGTCTCTCCACAGGCGCATAATAATATTCCCAC